TAATCAAGATGATTGGGATGGCAAGTTACCTCTAGTTATTGGTCTACACAACAACGCAATTCACAGTACTACAGGCTGGTCCCCCAATCAGCTGCTCTCGGATGGAACGCTAGAACGCCAAAAGATTTTCCTACTATCAAAATCTCAATCAACAACAACACCAGGAAGTATAGAGTATGATATACAACATGGGTCTATGCTGCAAGATAACTGTTCAACAAATTCAGAGAGCTCAGAATGCTATGTTAGCATAGGAGAGCAGACACAAATTGCCTTCTACATTTCAAATTGGGAAAAGAGCTAGGTAGCACGGGTTATCTGACCGGATAATCAAGTCGGATTAATCTAGGGGTAGGATTATCCAAAAATCCGGATAATTAAACAAAGCGGAAAAAAAACGAAAAAAAAAGTGATATTCAACATGCAAAATACAATAGAACTATATTCCTATTTCATGAAAAGCTTGATAGGGCATGAAAGGGTTTACAAGTGTAAGATAGGGAATATAAGGGTTTAGAGGGGGGATGCTTAATTCATTTTATAAATTTTTATTATTATTTTTTTCTGTTTTATTTTTTTATCTTCATAGTTGTTGAGATATCAAAGATGACATCAAGCCAAAAGTTTTTCGTATCATAAATATGACCAACATATTTTTTTTTCCATCTTTTTTTTTTTCGATTAAAAAAACTTATTTTGCGGAGGAACACGATTTCCACATCCGGAATCAATCTGGAAATTTCATCTGTACTGAAAAATCCAGATAAAATTGGTCTGCCGGATATCCGAATTTGCTACCTATGAAAATAGTGTGTGTAAAAACTTTTGAATTCATGCAATAACAAAATGTCTCTTGCAAATTGATGCTACAGTACGTTGGGCCATGACGAATAGGGGATATAGTAGGATCTGATCCGGATGATCCATCATACGTCATTACTGTTTCCCCTCACTCATACACATACTCTACCTTTCACACCTCTGAACTCTTTTCAAGTTATTTCTCAAAATTTGACCAGCTTCCCTCTCGACGATCAATGTTGCCCCCTACTATGGATTGATATGTGCACATCATTGTTAGCATAAGATGATGCCAGTACTGAAGTGGCCTGGAAGAGGAAGACCATAGGAACCGCAAATGAAGTGCAGGGTGGTTTTCATACATCACCTCGATCCCAAAGAGGATCAGTGGTTCACGAAGAACAAGTTGCTCAAGATTGCACCTCAAATAGTGCATGAATACAAGCAGACTTTGATAGGAAAGTAGCGAATTGAAAAATTCTTAGAGGGTTTTCAAACCTGAGGGTGAGAGAACACGGGGTTTCAAAACCTCCATCGGCCAGAAAAAAACCTTACCCGCTCTGAGTGAAGGTGGGCTTGCAGAAATGAGGCGAGGCCTGACTACAGACCAATCTGAGCAGAATGGGGGCCCCAGGTAGTTACTACACGCGTGCAGCATGTTCAATTAACCGGTAAGCCCAACCCATGAGGACCCCAAATCTGGGCTAAGGGGATTTAAAAGGGGGTGCCTATGTGTGATTTTTATTTTTATTTTTTATCTCCGATTCGGTGAGGAATTCTGATGACCCTCAGCCAAAAGTTGCTCATATTGCAATTCTACACAACATATGGATTTTATGACTTTCGTTTTTTTTTTGTTTTTTGTTTTTTTTGGGGGGGGGTGGGTGGGGGGGGGGGGGCGCTGCTCGGAACCCTGCTCGGGGTTCATGCCTGGCTGGGCACCCGGGTGTGTATCCGGGCACAAGTTGGGTACCCGGATGCCCAAAAAAACAGCCTAGGTATTAAATGGATTTTGAATTGCCGTTGTGATGTAGTATGCTTTCAAAGATCTTAAGAAAAAAAAATAAAAATTAGTTGAAGACAAGATGATTGGGTTGCACTCATGTTTTGTGTTTCATTTCTCACTCGTGTTTTTACTCTTCATGAGTCACGTCCATACATATGTGGACAGACTTGCTGATGCCTGCAACCTTCATCACATTCTCCCGTGCGCCTTTTTTTTTTCAATTTAAAGAAAAACATTTATTACATGCACAATGTCAAAGGTAAAAGTACATGCTCCTTCTTTGCTTGAAATTTGATGATGACAACATCTCGCAAATTGCATCTCAATCATCAAGAGAGGAATTTTGATATACATAATTTTATTTCGCTGCTTAGTAGTCTTTACTTACTTTGAACGATCTATAGTTTCAAAATTATTTTGTGAATTCTTAAGCTGTTTTTTCGGGCGCCCGGGCACCCAACTTCTGCCCGGGTACACGCCCGGGTGCCCGACCGGGCATGACCCTCGCGGAGGATTCCGCACAGCCCCAACGCAAATAAAATCAAAACAATCCGGAGAAAATATATGTTGTGTAGGATTGAAATACAAACGACTTTTGGTTGAGGGTCACATCATAATATCTCACAGAATCGGAGATAAAAAAGAAAATAACACAATCACACAAAGGCACCCCCTTTTAAACCCCTTTAGCCCCTTTCAAACCAATTTATATCCCCTCC